TAAACAAACAATTTTTTACTAAATTACAACAGTAAATTTCACGAAATCTATCCACAAATTACGATAATTTATAACTATTTACCGAGTTAATCATTAATTATCTAAATTGATGATAATTATTTAACTCATTAATGTAATTATTAATAATTCTAATTTATGATTATTTATGCGTAACGCAAATTAATTAAACATTTATGTTAATGTATGATAAATTATTAATTGTTACCAACCCAGATTATTATTTATGCAGGTAAGAATGGGGCGTGGTTTTCTCAAACTCCTCCTCTAGTACTTAAATATGAATTTTTGGGGACGAATTCAGCTACGCCTATAAATTAGCATATTTTCGTGAATAATAATTTTTTGCCATGTTTTTCTTTATCTCATCCTTTCATCTTTAACTATTTTCATCCTCAAAGAATTTTTCCTTTTATGAAGATTTTCAATAATTAAGATCATATGATTTCCGATGGTCCTTAAAGATTTTCCAGGATGAGCATTTTCATAGTTAAGATTAAAGGAAGGCTTTCAATAATGTTTTAGGACTCTTCAGGATGTGGCGTTTTCAATTATTACGATTAAATAAAGATTTCCAATGGTCCTTAAGAATATTCGAGGATGAGGATTCTTATTTTAACATTAAATAAAAATTCCAATGAACCTTAAGTATTTTCAGGATATAGATTTTTAATTATAAGATTAAAGGAAGATTTCCAATAATCTTTAAGGACTTTTAAGAATACGGATCTTCAATTATTCAATTCAAAGGTTATCTTTCTTCCTCCTTTTCTTGAGAGATGAGAAAAAAGAGGACCAAAGATGCAAAGTACTCAGTGATTAAAACAAAAGATTGATCCTTCATCATCATTTCTCCAAATGATACAGAGAAAATGAGGAAGAGAAACATTTAAAATTGAAGAATTTTCATAAAATAGTTTTATCCATCTTCGACTTCTCCTCAGCATCCTCTCAAAACTTTTTTAGCTACTTAATGATAAAAATCCCCAACCTCTTCCTAAGAAATTATTTTGAGGAAGAGTATGAGTATTTTAATCTTCTTCAAGATGTTCGAATGTATGGATTCCTCATCATTTTCCTAAAGGATGAGGATGAAGATGAGGATGATAAGATATCCTCATTAAATCCTCATTCAGCTTTAAAAATTAAATAATTTAATAAACTTTTCTTAATATATTATAAATATAACTTCATACTTTCTGCACTCTCCAGCATCCTTCCGCATGCTCTCAAAACTTCATCAACTACTTAACGGAGAAAATCATCGAGTAAACTGCTTATAATTTACATTTTTTGAAATAAATTTCTTACAAAAATGTGTTTTCTTGCTCTTTCTTTCCTGATTTTTCTCCTCCATTTTAAAATTTTATTTGGAAATTTAAGAGCAATTTAATATGACGTCGACTCGTAGTGAATAACATTGATTATATTGCTTGCTTACTTACTTGAGAATGATTTATGTATCTTTTTAAATTCTTAAACGTCACTTCAAACGCAATTTTCTTCAAAGATAATTATAACTTTTAAAATTTTGTGGTTAAACTTTAAAAAAAAGAAGGAAAGATGAATAAATTAAATTTAATCCCGAAGGGGTTATTTGTATAGAACGAGACGTTTAAAACTACTCCTACAGAATTTTTAGTTTAAATATTCTTGATTTATTATCTGGGCGTATAGATTTTTTACCCCTGCTTTCTTATGATGTTTTAAATAATTTTACGACAGATTTTTAGCTTCTTTCTTTACGTAACCTATTGAAAAATCGATATAATAAATGATCACATGTTTCTAGATGGATCTTCTTTGTGTTTCCAGCAATCTGAAGACATAAAATTGATCTGTATATGAATATTCTCGTCTTTTCTGCGTGGTTTTTTACTAAATATATAATTAATTAAGCATTTATTTTGTTAAAATTTACTGAAAATTTATTTTTTTAATCACAAATCATCATTATATTTCTTTTCTCAGCATCCTAAATTATGAATATCTTCATCTTTAATGACATTTTACTGTAGAAAGAACTAAAAAAAATTCAGTTTTTCTTTACAATTACGTTCAATGTTAACGAAGAGTGTTTACTTATGATATTTACTTACTGAAAATTGCATATAACATCATCATTTTTAAATTTTTCTACTGGATTTTACGCATCTTCAGATGATAAACTCAGAATTGAGCTGTGTAATTTTTATACATGGCAATTTTCCTGAAACTAGAATCAATTTTGAGCTGATAATTAAGCTTTATTTCCATAAGATTTATTATTTTAAACATGATTGAAGTAAGAAAAAGTTTAAAAAACTTAATTTATTAAATAATTCTTGTATAATTTATTAAAAAAAAAATAACTTGTAAAATTTAAATACAGTAGAGAGTCGTTTATCAGAAGGTCGATTATCCGAAACATCGGTTATCCGAAGGAATTTCAGTCGACAAATTTAAATTTTCGCCAGTGCTGTGGCGCTGTAATCTTTGGCAATGTCTTCGGCTACTCAAATATTTTACGTTTTTGATACTAATTTAACTTCTGAAGTATAATTTTTTATTGTTTTTATATTTTTCAATATATTTATTTTGTTTGTACAAAATAAAATAATTTTTAACGATACAATAGTCTTCGTTAGGCTTAACATCGACGAAAATTCAACGCGAAGCGACACGCAACGGAGAAAAATTTCAACACGGGATAAATTAATATACTTTTTCGTACATAATTAGTTATCCGAACAACCCGAGTCCCCAATTGATTCGGATAAACGACGCTCTACTGTATATGCGTCAAATTTACTAATTGTATGTTCTTAATGCTAAATCCCTTCTACTTCTACTAGCTAAATACGGAAAAACAGGAATTAATTGAGAATTAAGCTGTAGAGCATTCCTACAAAAATAATTATCATTAATAAAATATGAATTTATTACTTTCCAGCATTTAAATTTACTATTTTCAATCTGAAATTTCAAATGGCCACACTTTAATGGTCAGGGGGGAAAAATGCAATTATAACACACACAAAAAAAAATTTTTACGAAGAGTTTCTAGCAATTTTTCTTCTGATTTTTTGATAAAAGTACAAAAATTATTATCTAAATTTTCATGTTTTCCTGCGTAAACAAGAGGTAAGTTATTATTAATATCGCAAATGTCGCGTAAACGTGACGCAACGCATCACTAGTAATGCGTTACTCGTGTCACTTAACACGCTTGATTCTATTAAAAGTACTTTATAAAGGCAAAACAATTTAGAATTTATAAATAATTCAAAGTTTTTATGAGTAGTTTTTTTAATTTCTTCGCATTCCAAATGATGCCTTAAGTATTTTCAGGATGTAGATTTTTAATTATAAGATTAAAGGAAGATTTCCAATAATCTTTAAGGACTTTTAAGAATACGGATCTTCAATTATTCAATTCAAAGGTTATCTTTCTTCNACTGTAGTAAATTTTATAGAATCTGAAGCATATTTACGATATAATTAGGATTTTAGGATAGCTTTGATAATAAAAAAAATTATAATAATTAACCGAAATTTTTATCTAATAATGAAAATATACTCTATAATAATTCAAAATTAATTAAGTTTTAATTATAAATTAAATTAATTTAATTATTATATTTAAAATTTTCCACAGAAAGAAAAACAGCTGGCGCTCTCTTTACGTCACCTTACCCTCACGACAAGTGTTAACGCAGTGAAGAAGCTTTTACAGGGGCAGAGAAGCGTTAGTTTTTACCACGTTTTCACGCGAATTTTTAAATATATTCTATAATAATTTAAATTTTTTTAGTAAAAAATAATCGATAAAGTTACCCAATATTCTCGAAGAGATAAAATAGGAAAAATCGATCGATTAGTATATTAAGTTTATAGGATTAACTTCCAACTTCCATGTATAACGAGGATAGATAAAGACGTTTTGTCACATTAACTTCTGGTTTTCTTTGAATTCTGTCATTTCTTATCTTATTTTCCGATGAGAGATGCGATATTGATTTTATTTAACTGTTGAAAAGATGAAAGAACTTCGATCGGCGTCAATCATCAAAGGCTAAAAGGCCATACGACGTCTCAGGTATCTGTTATTGTTCGATATTCAACGAATTGAACTTTGAAGTAACTTTTCACCTCTACATCATATCTTATCTTACTATTAATAATTCAGTATTATAAATTCAAGAAAATTTACAGTGGCAAAGATATCTCTTCAAACTTTTCTTTACAGTTTCCTCCATAAATAAATGAGAAAAGGATATGCAAAATTGGAAAATCCGGAGATGTGGAAGTCTCCAGGATACTTTAAACAATCAAAATAACACGAGTGACACGCATTGCAATCGTCAGGAGGACTCAATCAGAGATGAGTATTCATATGAAATGTGCATCTGTTTAGAATTATTCATAGGTATATGTATCAGGCACGTCTGAACATCGATTTATGCCTTATACAATATATACGATATAAGATAGCTTAATTCTATAGATTACAATGGTATATATACTAAATTAAAGTTTGAGTATGTTAATACAGTGCACGACAATCGTATAAAAATACACATATAAGCCCGTTCCTTACCTCAATTTTATTAATTATAATTCACTTTTATTTAAATTAAATTTAAAATATTCATTAGAAATACAATTACACGGAAATAAATTATTTTCTAATTTAATTTTCAATTCTCTTTGTGATAGAATACTTCATGATTCGATTTTGTTGAATAGAATCAAATAAATTTAGTTATTTTCTTTTTATGTAAATACGAGGAGAAGATGTCATTTTTATCTTTAATCTTTATACTTAATCCTCCAGCAGAGTTTTAATTTTATGTATAAAATATGGAAGTACGAAAATAGAAAAAATTTCTAGATCTTTTTACCTTTTTTAAACAAACAAAAATCCTATTAACGTTACATAAGAGTAGATAAATTTTCTAAGTTGAATATGTTATTAATCATAACTATTCACCCAAAAACTTTTTTAAAGGACAGAATGATATATCTACGCTTCTTCTATCAGGTCGATAAGGTTGTTTCATCTTGCTTATCACAGACTGCTTATAATTGTATCCAGTTTGTTGTATATCAATAAGAAAAGTTATTTTATAAAATATTTACATATTTCTTTTCATAAAAATCGAAAAATAACCCTGTCTAAACTCCAAAATAAACGTAAGAACATCAAAATTTACAAAGATATCCATCGTAAATCATGTATAATAAACCATCACTTTATGCAGAGAAGTGATTAATAAGCAGTTGAATAATTACTGACCACTTTAAACACAATTATTAACGATAACAATCGTATTTTCTATCTCGACACTTCATCCTAACTTCTGGTCAATATTTTGTTTACAGTTTATCGAATTTTCCTGTACTCTGCACTATATATAGTACAGAAATATCGGTTTATACAGCAGAAAAAAATATATGGTATAAAGAAAATAGATTCCTGTAAGCTTGAAATAAAAAACAGGAGAATAAAAGTAAGCTTTAAAAAAATGTAACAATTTTTAAGATATTTATTTACCTTATTGATTTCCTACACATCTGGGCAGCAATCTTCAATCTTGGTAGATAAGTCAAGTATCAAGACAGACGTGTATGGCCATTGCTTCTAGTAAGAGGTATAACTTTTCTCTTTATCTTCAACAAGGGGCTACTTTGACTTGAAAGGCCACTTTTCCCAATTCCAGGTTTGCATTCGGCACGAGCAAAGACCTTAACATTACTGTTTTCTCTTCTTTACAGTATTTTCAAATATTACAAGTATTTATAATGATAGATGATCCCTACTTAGACATGAAAATGAAAGGAATTCACTTCCTATCACTGATAATTTATAAAATTTAAGTCACCTCCTCCTACGAATAAGTTTATACTACTGTTGTTAAGATTCTTGACTTATCGATACTCCTATATTCTTTACATATATATATATATATCATATTATATTGAATATGGGAAAAAGTTTATATATATATGTATGTAATATCACTTTCTTTCACTATTGTACAACTTACTCTAGGGAAATGCCTTGTGTAGAATCCTTATATCTCACCGAAACTTCGCCTACAGAATCTGTAAACCTCCCTTTATGAAATCACTATATCTTCTTCAATGGTATCCTTCTATCTTCCTGTATAGAATCCCTATATTATCGTCTTCAGAATTCTTGCTACAGAATATATCATTGATTTTTTATATATATTTTCCTCTTTGAAACCTTTTATGTATGCAGTATAATAAACTTATATACCTAGTAATCTCCTCTGGTACGCGATTGTATAGCATGTAAAATATCTTATTCCAATCTTCTTATTTTATTTATTTTTTGTACTAGTTTATATACATCGTGAATTGTAAGTAGAATAACGTTGAAAGATTGTGTAGGAGGTTCTTCGCGATATATGTAACATAGTAGGAATAAGAATTGTTACAAAAAGTTTAGAATGTAAGCGTAATAATCATTGGTTATATTAATAATAATAAGTGCATAATATTTTACTTGTAAATGTTTTAACTAATCAGCTTTAAGACAAACATATCATTAACCAATCAGTGTTAAAGCCTTTTAATGGTGATTAGTTAGCTTAACGCTAATTGGCTCAGAAACGTTTGAATTTTTTAAAATTTTTACATGCGAAATCAAGAAAGACGGGTGTAAACCAGGGGCGGACTAAGGCCTAGGGAACCTAGGCACGTGCCTAGGGCCCGTAATTTTTGGGGCCCCAAAAATTAGGTTTTTAATTTTTTAATTTTAAAAGTAGGCCCGGAATTACAATGTTGCCTAGGGCCCGCTTTAGCCTTAGTCCGCCTCTGGTGTAAACAAGTATATTTTCGCTTAAATTTTTGTTTTGCTATTTATTATAATTATTTATATAATTTACATTATATTTTTAAGTGTTATAAACTTATAATTTTACCAATAAATAGACTAGAAAGCATTACTTCCTTATGTAAGGATTTTTCAGTTCAAAACATACCTTTGGGGTAGAGGATGGGAAAAAGTGTGAACTAGAAATAAAACGCATTTTTTTCCTTCTAGCAAGAATCTTCTAAGTGCAAGAAAGTTTTTTTATTAACAGTTCGGAAGAAGATGTGTGTGTTTCCCATCTTTGAGATTGGTTGAGAAAACAGGAGGATCTATAGCAAATGCAGCCAAACAGATTTCATACGTTATAGGTAGAGTTTCTGGCGACTTTTTTCTCCCTTCCACCCCTATAAAAAAAGATAAAATTTGAAAGTATTAGTGGAAAAAGTTTTGGAACAACTCCAGATCCAGTTAATGACCGTTTAAGTGATAAAACCGCAAATCGGTCTAAACTTCTCCCATTTGGGACGTATAATTTACGTTATAATGACATATTCAACTGTAACAAATTGTTATTTTTTAAATCACCCTCCTTCGATAATTGCAGTAAACTATCCATTTAAGAAAAGTGCACTCACTCGGCTGCTTATTCTAGAATTTTATGCGGATTATTCGACATAAAGAGCTAATTTAGTCGTATAATTATTCAAGTAATAGCGATTAATGAATATAGAAAAATTAGTATAGGTTTAACTAATGACCCTCGACCAGATGAAATATTTAAACAGCCAGATTGAGAAATGATCAACGTTCTCTGACAGGGATATTAGCGATTATCAAATTTTTATTCCTCATAAAAAAAAACTGAAATCACATTCAGAGAAAATGAATAAATAATGCTTTAAAAATAAATATGAAATATATATATTAATATTTAATAGATAAAACGCAAAAGTGAATGAGATCAACTGAAAAAAAATGAGCGTAAAGATAAATATAAATTTAAAATTCAGTATTTATTGAGACACTAAGTAAACATTTCAATTTTAAATTAAATTTTGATCAAATTAAAAAAATTAATTCAATTTTAAAAATGTAGAAATTCGTTAGAAAACGCAGAAACTGATTACATTTTTAAAAAATCCAGCATGATTTGCGTAACTTTTCCGGCAAAAAAAAAAGTTAAAAATGTGCATGGCGCTATCTGCTGCAATTTTTATTTAATTATATATTGTTAGTTATTATAAAATGATAAGAAGCTTAATTTTCGGCCAGAGACGAGTTTTATAAAAAAAATTGTATATGCTAATAACGAATAAACCGTTCGATCTCCATGTTAAGTCTGATCCTCACTCGAGATATGATAGAAGGTCCCTCTCAATCTTCCCATCCCTTGACCTTTAACTACCAAAATTTAATAATATCAATTCTCTTAATACACAAACCTCCGTGCAAAATTCCAGAAAATTTCGATAAAACGCATAAGAGTTATTAAGCTTTAAAGTGGGTGGAAAAAAACCGTATTCCTCATACACAAACTAACATGCAGAAAAAACTCCCAATATTTTTTGCATTTTTCGACGTTTCAAGCTCCCGAGTGAAAAAATATAAAACTCTTGAGGGTCATATTTCGACCGATTGCCATACTTTCTTTCCCTCTGTTATATGTAACGGCGAGAAAGTAAAAATGCAGTAACTGATCACATTTAAAAAAATGCAGAAACTGATTAAATTTATAAAAATGCAAAAACGAAATAAATTTTTAAAAATTTTTGGAAATTAAAATAAGCTAAGAAAATAAAGAAATTATTACATAACAAACTAAATAAATAATGTTGAAATGTTGATAAAAAAAATATAGAAAATGCCTATTTAATTTAACATAAAAAAATATGAGACTAGTTTTATACTAACAGGAAGAAGAGTAATTAAATATAAATTATATAAAATAAAAAATTCGAAAATTAAATTTTTGACAAATAAAAAATTTCTAAACTAAAATAAAATCTTTATTAAATGATAATTTAATAAGGGAAAAAATAATTTGCAACATAAAACAATAAAGATGAGGAGAAATTTATTCCTCTTCGATAAATTAAAATATATAACGATAGTAAAAATTACTTATTATCTAACGGTAACATTATTGTCGTTATACATATATAATGTGCACATTGGCAAAGTATTAATAAATTTCAATCTTAGTTATGCTGTTACTTAGTTAACTACTAAATATGTCAAAATTAATATCACGCATGAATATTTTAAGCGTTTAATCATTATTTAATGATGAAGAATGATGAAAAGTAAGAATGATAATAAATATTGGAAAATTTTAATAATGTTTCTCTAAATGTAATTAAATTAGACAATGAAGAATCGAAGATTTAATGTATATGAATGAATGAGTGAAGGGAAATCGGATGAAAGAGAAATTAAAAATGACGGAGGATGAAGTGGAAATCTGACGGAAAAGATTTGGGAAATGAATGCAGATAAGAAGTAAATCTGATGAAGAAGAAAGGTAGGTGAGGAGGAAATGGTGAATGAAGGGAGTGAGAAGGAAGATGAGGAAGAAATGGAGAATGTAGGAAGATTAGGAAATGGAGAATGACGAAGATGGAATGGTGATATGAAAATGAAGAAATGGTAAACGAAGGAATACAAACAGGGAATCTAATTTAGATAAAATTAAAGATGAAGAGAAAATGTGATGATAAAGGAATGGAAAATGAATAGAAAAGAAAGATATAGATGAAAATGAAAAGCCACGTTGATAAGCAAATGAAGAATGAAAGAAAATAAAAATAAAAATTTGACAAAGATTAAAATAAAGATTTAGCAGAGTAAAGATTTAAACATAAATTATTTAGCGAATTTCAATTATACCTTTGAAAGATTAATATATACATTTTTTAAATTGCCATGATAATTAAAATTTGTAATTGAAATTAGTCAAAAACTTAAGAGAAACCTTTACTCTTTCTCTCTCCAGAGGCTAATCTCTCTTTAGTTTCTTACTCCTCTCGTTGGTTCTCAACCTTCTAACCAATAGAAAAGCGATTTGAGGATTACGTCAGAGAAAACAAGCATCTCGCTCTCTTCCTCTAGGGATTGTATCTGGAAAAGAAGACAAATGATGGCGAACTTTGTTGATGTTCCTGGTTGAAGTTTTGATTCTTTTTATTCTCGAGTGTGTTAAGATGTAGTTAAAGAGGAAGAAAGAAAGTATTCTTCTTCTCCTTTAACTCCAGAAAGTATTCACGAAAGTCAATTCCTGGGGAATTCGTAAAGGATTCTTTCGATACTTTTTGATTAAATTAGTATTTTCTTCTCCTTATCCATAAATTAATTACATATCCTGTGTAACAAGTTTACGACTTGAAAAGAAAGTAGAAAATTCTTTTAAAGGCATCCCTAAAGCATCAATAATTCTCATTTAAACACGCATAAATATATTATTTTTTCCTGCAGATGAATAAATCATATATATTTTCCTTTATAAATCACGTTTTAAGATCTGTATGTAGAGGTTTTATATATATTTTAGACTCTAATTTGAGTATACGTTAAACAGAGGTAATACATATCAAGTGTCTTATTCGTTGTAGTACAGGTTAGGATCATTAATTGATAATAAATCGTTATATAGGGATATAATCTATACTCGAGTGAGTATACATTAGAGTCTAATGTATACTCACTCGAGTATAGATTATACTCCTATATAGCAAGGGTCTAATGATTAGACCCTTGTTTACCCATCTGAGTATAGAACATCTGAGTTCTATTTAACGATTTTAAAAAATTTATGCTCAATTAACGATCGCTAAATACGGGGTATCATTGTATAATTGTATAAAAAATTATTTTAGTTGGTGTTTTAGATGTTTACAGCTCAAAATTTCAAAGCAAAATTCCACAAACGTGATTGATCATACGCAATTTTATGAAGTACTTCGTCTTAGTGCATACCTAATGTAGAATTTAAGATTTAAGAGTATCGAAGATGATAAATTGAGGGAAACCTTCACGCATATGATGCTTATTCTTCATCATTGCCATCCTTTAATTTGAGAAAATAACGCATGAGATTGAAGAGAAACAAATTAAATAATCAATTAACCTTGATAAAGAATTTAAGGCTCAATTAATTAGCTTTGATTGCCAGTTAATAACGTTTAATAGATAGTCGATTTAACATTTTTACGAACTTACGAAAGCGATGGAATTAAGAAAATTAATGGAAAAAATATCTTAAATTACGAACAGAATTGCCGATATCGAGAAGGAAAGACGTAAAAGAAAGGAAAAAAATACTCAACACAAAAACACACAACAAACACACTTCACCACTTCAGTTAACATTATTCTATTTATCGGATAACATGCGTGTGTTATATCCATTAGAAAGAACAGTCCAGTTACTGTGTTTGGACAGAATTCAAGTTGTTTTCTTGGAAAATTGACGTCAAAGTGAGTACAGGTAAAGCCACCTTTCGATAGATACGCCTGGTAAGACAACGGATCTATAATTATTTTTCTAAGCTCTAAAAATAAATAATTGAAGAGAGTTAAAGGGGATCAATGCCATGCCCTTCTCATTGATGGATTTTAGTTACGCTCGGATACACTTGGCATGGATATTTAACCAGCCAAGTGGGGTTAGGTTATAAAAACATACCCTCTGACAACTCCAGATAAGGATAATTTTTCTTTTTAAATTTTATTTTCAGTTGAGAAATGTTACTACTTTTGTAATATATCGACTTAATTTTACAACAATTTTATTTAAATTTACAAGATTTTCTCAACAGTTTTAATCACTGTACTTAAATTACTAGAGATCTCAACTGGAGCAGATGACAGGCATTTTTTTTTTCTTTTTTTCGGGGTAATTTTTACAACGTTCTACTATATCTTCACTAGATTTATGTTAATTTTCTAAGACCGAATTAACTGTTAAATTAAATTCTAGTCTAGACGTTTGTACATTAATAATATCTGATTCGCTTCCTGAAGTACCGCAATAGGACCTTCAGCTCTTCAACGCGTAACGAATTTCAATGAGTGTAAGCTTTGGCGTGTTTAACAGAAAGGCTGATTTAAATATCTTTCGCCGTAATATTTTCTTATTCTTCTCTCTTTCCCCCCTTCTTCTTCGATATTTCTACTTTGGTGAATAAATTATGTCTTTGCGTATCGATTAGTTGCGGGGTTTAAAATGCCTGATGACTAGTTAACTTCGATCGAACGAGTCACGAATCTAAACTCGACGTTATCAATCCATACAAAAGTCTGATCCGAGTAGCTGTGTTTCGCTTGTGAATATTAAATTATGCACTGTTAAAATTGCCTCTGGCCTGTTTTTAAAATACGAGAGACCCGCAACCATCTTTAAAGTTGAAAACGTGTTTTCATTCCGGCCATAATTTATTCATTTTTATGATTTTAAAGAATCATCAAATGAATTGCTTGGAAAGAAACGTGCCAGAATGTGATTTTTCTTCAATAATTTTACAATTTGAGCCGTTATTTTTTATGTAATACCCACTCGTACCCGCAAGTGCAACGACTTTTCGTAAGGAAGGAAGTTGTAATTTTTACGTAATTGTAGTGTAAATTTGGATTTTAGATAACGACACCCAATTATAAAAGGTAGAGAAATATTGTAAATAAACTCTTCACGCTATATGCAAATTAGTGTAAAGGACGTTTAGAATAATTTAGCAAACACAGGAGCTGGGGAAAATCTTGTTTTTTGAGTGTGTTCTGTTTCCTAAATTCACCAAATTTAATGGAGCCAATGTGTCTAGTAGTGTGCTTCAATTCCCAAAACGAAATTTTATTTGCGATACTCGAACACATTTAGAATCTGGAAGAGATAAAGAACTAAAAAAATAAGAAAGTTGAGACGATCAATGGATGAAAACTCATTAAAAGTAACTTCAATTAAATTTCACTGAAAAATATATTCTACGCGAAGAAATTTTTAGGTCAAGCGTGTTTATTAAACATAAATCCTATTCAATAAATGATGACGAAAGTTTGCGTGTGATGAAAGAGGCCCTTTAGCTTCGTGGTACAGTTAAATAATGTTTAAGTATTTATAAATATTTACTAGAAATCATTTGATCCTTTTGTAGTTTTGCTGGGAAAGAGGCGGGAAGAAAAAGTGATTGTAGTAAAATTGGCTAAAAATTATGTGTAAATTCGGCCTTGTGCCGGTTTACATATACGCCAGATAAGTTATGGCTTAGTTCCTAACAATACGAGATTACAGCTTAGAACCTCACGCTATGAGGCTACTGCTTAGGACTTCACGCTAAGAAAATACAACTGAGAGGTTTACGTTAATCTTTACACTATGAGGCTACAGGTGGAATTTCACACTACGACAGCTTAATCTCAAGTTTTGAGATTGTATAAATCCGATCTTGTGCAGGTTTACATGTATGCTATACAAGCTTTCTCATAATATAATACTAGTTACGACTTAGAACCTCACTCTATGAGAGTATATCTGAAGGGCATACACTACCAAATTACAACTTATTACCTCAAGCTATGAGGCTGTAACTTTTGATCTCACTATACACCCGAGGGGCTTATCAGCTTTACACAGCTAACCTAACACTATGAGGCTACAGATAGAACTTACACAACAGCTTGAATCTCACGTTATGAGGCTAAGAATTAGGGCCTCTCGCTCTTAAATTTATTATTACTTTATGAAAGGGTAGGTTCTGCTATATATTATAGCTTAGGTCCTCAACAAGTCTATTTCTAGTCTGGAGCACATGGTTACAGAAAGTCAATGAGTTCAAGAAGTTGGCCATCACAAGTACACTTGTACGAAAAACCAGAGTGCGTATATATATATACACCTGTGTCTAGTTCCTCCTTCAGATTGAATAGAAAGTTTTTCCTCTGTCGTGTTTTCGTAAAAGAAAAGTTTTTTTGAAAGAAAAAAGGAGAGAGAAATATTCCGAAATGGAAAGTAAACTACTCATCTTCTAATGGGTACCATATCACAAGATTTCAAAAGCATTAAAAGAGATTAAAAAGTAATAATCTGTATAAAATATACTTATATATAGCTTTAAAAGCGAATTAGATGATTATTTATTAATCTGTAATTACTTTACAAAGTTTATTTTCTAAAAATAAACTAATTTTTTGCTACATAAAGAATATTTTGAATTTTACTCTCTCATTGGCTAATTTGAATTATTTCCGTCATTTCATTCGTCAATTTAAATTTGAATTTGTTAAAAATCGTTAATTACTTCTTAATATATATTAACAATTTTAAAATACAAATCGTGCAAACTAAATTTCATAAAAATTATTTTAAAATTAGCATTTATCTTATTCTTTAGTTAATAGAGAAATTTTGCTGTATTATTGGATAATTTGAATAATTTCCTACTCTTGATTGGTTAGTTCAAATTTAAATTCGCTAAAACTTATCAATTTCTTGTCAATGTATATTCTACAACGCTATAAACAATAATTTTTGAATAATTCGTTTAGGATTTAAGTAGAATTATCTAAATTTGATTAATTTAAAAATTTTAAATAATTTTACTACAAAAATCACTTAAAAATTAGCAATAATCTTAATGTTTCAATTAAAGAAAAAAATTACCCTCTAATATTGGCTAATTCGAATCAATTTTTGCTTGTAATTGGTTGAATTAAATTTAAATTTATTAAAGTTTATTGGTTGTTTTTGAAACGTCTGGTAATTGATTATTTTTCATTTAAATAATTTCAAATTTATTGGAAATTTTAAAGGGAAAAGAGGGAAAAATTCAATTTAAAAAACAATATTTTTAAAAACGGTAATTGGTAAATTTTAAATATCGTCATTTCATTAGTTGTGTGTGAAGTAATTGATTATTAAATACAAGAATTTTTATTGATTCCACGTAATTGGTTAATTTTAAATTCGAATGTAAGAAATTTATTACTTGTAGACACGTGTGAAATTAGATTCATTGAATCGATAATCTCAGCAATTTTTCTAGTTCAAAAATTTAAATTTAAAATGAATGTTTTAATATTTATGCAACGAGTTTCATATTTGATTTATCTTTTGATATATCTATATATATATATATATATATATTCCCCCTCCTTTTTTTAATTTTATTTGATACTAGAGATGTAGTAGTTGGAAACATTCTCATTTTTATTAGTATCATTTGAATAAAAAGAATAAAAAAAAATAAAAATAAAAATTTTTTATCGGTCAGATCATCAATATTTTTACACACAAAAAATGTTATTCCCAGTGAATTTATTTACAATTTTTCATTTTATTTGGAATTAAATAAGAAAGAATGAATGCAAGAATGGAGGGGGAGAGAAGAAATAAATAAATAAGTAAAAATTGAAGATAGAGATTTTCAGATGAGAACTTTTATTCGATTTGTCTACCATGTTGTGAAAAGTCGATTTTAGAACGGTTGGGTGATTCTTTAGAAAAAAAAATTATATATATATATATATATATAAACTAAAAAAATGTTATTGTTATTTTTTTTATCTTTTTTGAAATTAAACCATAGTTTTTATCAAAGTAATATCTGATTCTTTGTGCCAAAAAAGACATTTCTAATTCTACACATATCACAAGAAATGTTCAGCCAAGTAGAATCTAAGCGAAAACAATATTTCTTTTCTCTCGGTATCTCCATCCATCCTTTAGTTGTTTGCAATCGATAAATCACTAACTTTTAGCATTTTACACTTTTATCTACTAGATAATAGATAAAGAAAGGTGATAAACTATAATTTTCTTTCCAAAAATTCTTTTCTGAGTAACTTAACTAAAGGATATTATTAGTGATCTCTTGCACTAAATGAGCATCAGAGACAATTAATATTGATTCCAATACTAAATTCCTTTTGTAATTAGTAAAACTTTTAGAACTATCGATTTGGATATTTTACTTAAAATTTCCTCTTTAATAATTACTATTCCTGTTACATTTTAATGCAATTTAATTTAAACTAGTAGATGAATAATTTCTCTTAAAATTATTAAATTAACACCATACTTATATATATTATCTGAATATTAAATAATTTGATCATAATTAAATGTAAGAATATTTAAAATCCATCACCGAATTGTTACAAATGATTAAAAATAATCTGCTACGATTTTAAATTAATCGAGTCCTAAATTAAAAAAAAAAAAAAGTTTAAATAAACCAATGACCTTTGAGATGATTTCAAAATAACCAATTAGAGATGAGACCGTTAAAGTTTAATTTAAATTAATCCAATCACGGTGACAATTTATTTTTAAAATTAATCAACTAAAAGATGATTATTTTTAAATTCGTTTTTTAAAAAAATTTAAAACTGAGCAACTAGAAATTAATTAATTAATTATTTTTATTTTTTAAATTCAAATATCAGTTTTAATTAAAACACGAGAGAAATTTTCTTAAAAATCTTAACAGAATTTGTATTAAATAAAATATTGGCTAATTTGTATTACTTCTCGCTTAAAATATTATATAATATTAATTTCAATAAAGTGAATTTTATACAAAATAAAATTATAATTCTAACTTTAAACAAGAAATTACCGTGTCTAGGTTAATCAGTATTCTACTGAGGTATACTGCGAGTGGATCATCTGCGTGTTTTGACACTTAAAATATGAAGAAGGGGGATTATCGTAGGGGGGTATATCATCTGTTTTGGGGATATAAATTTTTAATAAATCTATAACCGATTGATTCCTATCTAGAATACAGTAGTTTAAAAATTACAATCAATACAATTCCGTTTTGTCCTATTGATTCTTTTCTAATGTCGAGTAAAATGTATTTTATCCTATTTTGCAACTCATTCCTGGTAAATGGATAGTTCATTATCTTTTGCTTTCTCTTTGATTATTCTATTTGCTTTTCTTTGAATAATGCATTTTTCTCCCTATCGTAATTATATGTAGATTATTTATTTAATCGGATTTTAATATTTAATTCGTCGTCGGTGATGTTAGTTTAAACAGATAATTATTGAAATTTTAAATAAATGCTTGGAGCAAATTGGAATTTTTTTTTCTTTTTCTTATTTTTTTTAAAATGAAAGCAAGGGAACTACTCGATTATTTATTATTTTTCTTTATTATTTTATATAATAATAATAGTAATTACAGCTTAATAAATTTTATTTTAGTAGAGTTTTAACGTCATTCTTCAACTGATTAGAGTATGAAGTTCTGTTCATCCTGGTATATTCATTATTTATAAATAAATAAATAAATAATATAAACAGAATCTCATCTTTTCACATTCTATCGTCTTTTAATATTAGAAAAATATATATTTTTCACTCGAGGTAAAAGATTTGAATATTTTATTCATACAAACTTTGAAAATTCTGTATTCGTTGAATGAACACTTTTAACTCTTTATTCATATTAATATCTACATAAACATTCCTTTCGAGAATTTGACTTTTTTGTATAATTTATTGGAATTTGCATTATAAAATAAATATACTCATGAATAAAAATTTATATCCCTGACTATGTTATTGTGAATGTACTTAAACATTGAATTACTTAGTGACTACTGGCTTAAATTTCATTTTCAGTTCCCTTTTTTTTTTATTGATGTTTAAGCTGCATTTCTGCGATAAAAATAAAGTTTTATGCTTTTTAAAATGTGCTGAAATATCTGAAAAATGATTTAGTTACTTTGAAGTAAGTTTATACTTTTTATTAATATAAAAAAGGTATAAAATTTTAACAGTACGTCAGAGTTTTCAAGTAGCCATTTTCTATATTTATGCACGCATTTTTATAAGATAAGAGAATAATTTTGCATAAATATTAAGAAAAAAAACTTTGGCCTAAGATGTAATATAAACTAGAACGTTAAATACACTAAATTTCTTAGATTAATTCAAGAATTCTTAAGTGTAGTTCATAGGTTATGCAAGGGCGATATTTTGTAGCATTAAACTGCAATGCCAACGGTCTATACAGGATATAATATATACATAACTTTTTTTTATTTTTTTGGAGTTCATTATAAATGCCAAAGCAGACCATTCATGCAAAAACAGATATAGATCAAGGTGTATATTATTAAAGGGTGTGGCGCCGAAAAAAGGAAATCGGCTCATATACCAAAAAATTGCTAAATATTTCCGCTTCTAATTAAACAATTTACGGACGGGAAACGAATTTAAATTCTTTATTTTTATTATTAACATCATAATTACGAGTTGTAGAAAGGATCAAAACGCACACCGCTAAGCGAAACAATTAATCATAATTAATTACACCAGCAAAGAAAAAATAAATAAATCTAAAATTTACTAAAAATTAAAATATTGTAATTTTAATTAATTAAATTAATTAATTAATTAAACTTTTTTTTTACATATTAGAGAAGTAGAAGAAGAAGAAGAAAAACAATATAAAAATTGGTCAAGGTCTCTCATCCCCGAGCTTCCTATTTCTCCCAGAAGAGGTCGCTACACTCCACCTTGACAACCGCTGTGTTGTTTGGTCGTATCCAAGAAGGCTTAGAACATGTCGAATGTTTGCTGTTTATAATTGATTTCTAGCCGTTTTATTAAATCGTAGAATGACCGAGTCGCTCTATAACTAATCGGGATACGTTAAATAACGCCGTAGGCTTTTAAAATAACGGAATTAATGCTAGATAAACCTTAATAAGCGGTGATTACTGGCGGGAGACGATGTCGTGATTCTTCAAATCTCATTCTTGATGGATGGAAATGGCTTTTTTTTCTTTCGTTCTTCGAATGAATTATGGATTCAGATGAAGAATTGACTCCACGACGTTATGTCCTTTCCTATAGAAGACATGCTACATCTATTGGGACTCATTTCTATTGACAGAATGACTGAAATGAGGTAAGTTCAATTTTTCATTGTAAAATATATGCAATTCATAAGGGTCAATGTCTAAATTTTAATATATATATATCAATATCTTGATACTGAAACTCATTCATTACACATTCAAGAATTAATTACCATCAAATCAAAGTTATGTCTTTCATGCTTGGTGAATTAATATACATTTTATACTGGTTATTATTGATTTTAATCAGTTTTATGTAAGACTGAGCTTATATATGTGTTTACTTATTAAATATCTTTTGTCATAGCCGAGTGGTGTGTTAAATTTTTGTGTGTCGACGGTATTGTATGTATGCTTTTGTTATTGTGGCATGGAGTCCGAATTTGCCTCGAACCCTCTCGGTAGCTTTGCCCCTGCATACTGGCACAGTTAAGAATTAATTACCATTATATCAATGTTATAACTTTTGTATTTGGTGAATTTAGTAAATATACATTTTGTACTGTTTATTAATGATTTTAATCAGTTTTACATATTTTTCATTATGTCCAAGAAATTTATTAAGTTTTTGTATTTACACTTTCATCGTGTGAGGCATGGAACCTGATGTTGCCGATTGATACCTTTGGCCGATATGGATAGTTCGTATGAAATGTCAGTCGAGAAAGCTGCTTCTTATCCGTTTATCCGTATGCTTCTTTATATTGTTGTAGTTCTCTTAATCCCGAAAAAATATTTTTTTTTGTTCTCTTAATCCCGAAAAAATATTTTTTTTTTTTTTGTTGGCGTGACTTTGCCGACATTGGGAAACAAGATGCCTCTTCAAACTGTGTCGGTTCAAAGTTTCTGTTAGAATTTCTACATTATGCATTCTAGAATTAATTATAAATACATCAAAGTCACATCTTTCCTGGGAATATTAAAAAGTGTATTAAATCATCTATAATTTTTAATGATAATTATTAATTTTAATAAGTTTTATACACAAATTATGTAAAGCTGAGCAAATTGTATTTTTAAAAAATTATTATTAAACTTTTACATATATCAACATGTTTCTGTCAAGTTGTTCATTACATATTCAAGAATTAATTATAAATGTATTAAAGTCACATCTTCTCTGATAATGTTACAAAAGTGAATTGAATTAATTAGTACTTTAAGTCATAATTATTTATTAATTTTAATAAACTTTATGTACAAGAACTTGAATTAATATTATGTTTTTATGGTTTTTTTTATGTAAAACATTAAATTTGATGGTCTTCTGTGTCAGATTTTGGACCAAATGGCTCTACCATTATCCCATTTGAGCCCATCTTTTCTTACAAGGCTTACATACAGATGTCATTTGATATTATTTTCTGCATATTAGTGTTTTCAAGTTATATAATATATAAATATGTTTGTTAAAATATCCTTTATTATATATTCAAAAATTAATCATAAATATATCATACATTTATTTATTTATTATACTGATTATGAGTAATGCTGATAAGTCAGGAGATTATTACCTCATACAATAGATATAGCTTGAATAAAATATAAACAATCATGCAAACATAAAACAATGCTTAAGTTTCTCAAGGAAAACAATTGATGCTGTGAAAAATATGTATAAGCTGTCATAAGTAAATATTGAAACATTGTCATGAATGTTACATACATAATACAGTAGAGCATCGATTATCCGATCCAATTGGGGACTGGGGTTGGTCGGATAATTGAAAAGTCGGATAACCGAAAAGTATGAAAAAATACATTATTAGTGTAGTATATTATTATATCCCATGTAATTAGTATATTAGTATATCGCTATTAACCTACTTTGCGTTGAATTTTCCTCCATGTTAAGCCTATCAAATTTTTTTTAAAAATAATAATCGTTGCTATTGTATCGTTAAAAATTAGAAAATTAAGCCTCGTTTAAATACTGGCTCCCTTTCATGGTCGATCCAGTGTTGCCAGCTAAAACACGTAAAAATAATATTAAATTAACCAAGACATGGCCAAATATTGTAGCGCCACATCACTAGCGGACATTTGAATTTGCCGACTAGAATGTAGTCGGATAATCGATGCTCTACTGTATTAGTTTTAGAACTTTAAACATTTGGATTACGAGGGCTGTTCGGAAAGTTCGCGGCCTTGCCTATGTGTGGCGCTNTAATCTCAAGTTTTGAGATTGTATAAATCCGATCTTGTGCAGGTTTACATGTATGCTATACAAGCTTTCTCATAATATAATACTAGTTACGACTTAGAACCTCACTCTATGAGAGTATATCTGAAGGGCATACACTACCAAATTACAACTTATTACCTCAAGCTATGAGGCTGTAACTTTTGATCTCACTATACACCCGAGGGGCTTATCAGCTTTACACAGCTAACCTAACACTATGAGGCTACAGATAGAACTTACACAACAGCTTGAATCTCACGTTATGAGGCTAAGAATTAGGGCCTCTCGCTCTTAAATTTATTATTACTTTATGAAAGGGTAGGTTCTGCTATATATTATAGCTTAGGTCCTCAACAAGTCTATTTCTAGTCTGGAGCACATGGTTACAGAAAGTCAATGAGTTCAAGAAGTTGGCCATCACAAGTACACTTGTACGAAAAACCAGAGTGCGTATATATATATACACCTGTGTCTAGTTCCTCCTTCAGATTGAATAGAAAGTTTTTCCTCTGTCGTGTTTTCGTAAAAGAAAAGTTTTTTTGAAAGAAAAAAGGAGAGAGAAATATTCCGAAATGGAAAGTAAACTACTCATCTTCTAATGGGTACCATATCACAAGATTTCAAAAGCATTAAAAGAGATTAAAAAGTAATAATCTGTATAAAATATACTTATATATAGCTTTAAAAGCGAATTAGATGATTATTTATTAATCTGTAATTACTTTACAAAGTTTATTTTCTAAAAATAAACTAATTTTTTGCTACATAAAGAATATTTTGAATTTTACTCTCTCATTGGCTAATTTGAATTATTTCCGTCATTTCATTCGTCAATTTAAATTTGAATTTGTTAAAAATCGTTAATTACTTCTTAATATATATTAACAATTTTAAAATACAAATCGTGCAAACTAAATTTCATAAAAATTATTTTAAAATTAGCATTTATCTTATTCTTTAGTTAATAGAGAAATTTTGCTGTATTATTGGATAATTTGAATAATTTCCTACTCTTGATTGGTTAGTTCAAATTTAAATTCGCTAAAACTTATCAATTTCTTGTCAATGTATATTCTACAACGCTATAAACAATAATTTTTGAATAATTCGTTTAGGATTTAAGTAGAATTATCTAAATTTGATTAATTTAAAAATTTTAAATAATTTTACTACAAAAATCACTTAAAAATTAGCAATAATCTTAATGTTTCAATTAAAGAAAAAAATTACCCTCTAATATTGGCTAATTCGAATCAATTTTTGCTTGTAATTGGTTGAATTAAATTTAAATTTATTAAAGTTTATTGGTTGTTTTTGAAACGTCTGGTAATTGATTATTTTTCATTTAAATAATTTCAAATTTATTGGAAATTTTAAAGGGAAAAGAGGGAAAAATTCAATTTAAAAAACAATATTTTTAAAAACGGTAATTGGTAAATTTTAAATATCGTCATTTCATTAGTTGTGTGTGAGGTAATTGATTATTAAATACAAGAATTTTTATTGATTCCACGTAATTGGTTAATTTTAAATTCGAATGTAAGAAATTTATTACTTGTAGACACGTGTGAAATTAGATTCATTGAATCGATAATCTCAGCAATTTTTCTAGTTCAAAAATTTAAATTTAAAATGAATGTTTTAATATTTATGCAACGAGTTTCATATTTGATTTATCTTTTGATATATCTATATATATATATATATATATATTCCCCCTCCTTTTTTTAATTTTATTTGATACTAGAGATGTAGTAGTTGGAAACATTCTCATTTTTATTAGTATCATTTGAATAAAAAGAATAAAAAAAAATAAAAATAAAAATTTTTTATCGGTCAGATCATCAATATTTTTACACACAAAAAATGTTATTCCCAGTGAATTTATTTACAATTGTTCATTTTATTTGGAATTAAATAAGAAAGAATGAATGCAAGAATGGAGGGGGAGAGAAGAAATAAATAAATAAGTAAAAATTGAAGATAGAGATTTTCAGATGAGAACTTTTATTCGATTTGTCTACCATGTTGTGAAAAGTCGATTTTAGAACGGTTGGGTGATTCTTTAGAAAAAAAAATTATATATATATATATATATATATATTTCTTT